ACATTGGGTGGAGATTACTCCACATACTCCGGATCATACTGCATTGTTTGGGATTCTAGCTGAGATGACATAGTTTGGAGATAATTTGAATTTGGATGCAGATGATGAGTTGATTTTGGATTCGAGTGCAGCTGGTGGACATGTTTTGGATATGACCATTGGTTAACCTCAGGTGGAGGTGTTTGATTTGTTTCAGTTTGGGGCCATTGGGAGCGCTATCAGTTGCAGATCCGTTGGTGATATTGGTGAAGAGTTACAAACTTTTCTATTTGATTGAGAGCCTTTGGAGGCCGTTTGTGTAAACTACGTAAAGACTTGATTCCTTGCGCAAGAGGATACATAGGCAGTCATTTATGATGTAGCCGGTTTGGTGAGTAGATACTGACGTTTGGAGAGTGGTCACATTCTCGTTTGGGTCTCGACTTGTTGTGGATTGAGTCCGTTGTTGTGATTTTGTTTCACTTCGTACTGCGCGCAACAAGTGAGACATTTGTTTGGTGTTGGTGTCGGCTCAGTTTTGGAAAAACTTCACCGAGGTGGAGAATTGTTGGATAGCAGGTTCCTAATCTGTTTTGGTAACAGGTTATTGGGATTCCTAATCTGTTTTGGTAACAGGTTATTGGGATTTCTAATCTGTTTTGGTAACAGGTTATTAGGATTCCTAATTTGTTTTGATTTTGGTTTTAGAATTCTTAGTATGTTTTTGGTTTTAGGATTTCTATATATATGGAACGATTGGAAGAGAGAATTGAGCAAAAAATTAGGGATATTTAGAGCACAGAAAAGATGTATTTTCTGAGCTATTGGTTAGGGTTTTGTTTGGAGAAAATTAGAGATTTGTTGGTGAGATTAATTGGTGAGTTTGAGTGATTAGTAATCTCAGTTTGTACTCTTGTTCTCTATTAGTAAAAAACTCTATCCCCTTCTTGCTCCGTGGACGTAGGCAACTTGCCGAACCACGTTAAAATTGGTTGTTTGTGTTCGTGGCATTGATCTGGTTCGTTTGGCCTTCTCTCGACGTTCGTTTGATTTGATTACTCGTAGCACGTTAGTTTGGTTGTTTGGCTTCCGCAGCGTTCAACATAGATTAGGTTTTGTTTTTCTTTTTTTATTTTTTTCCCCAAGCAACCTAGACGGAATTTTCGTCTTGGTTGCGTCCGTCTAGGATACAACGTAGACGGAAATTCCATCTAGTTTGCATCCTAGACGGATTTTCCATCTAGGATGAGGGTAAATTTAAAAAAAAATAACCGTCTAGTTTGTCAATCTAGACGGAAAATTCCATCTAGATTGATCCAAACTAGATGGAACAAACAAGACGAAATTTTTTCCGTCTAGTTTGGTGCAAAACTAGACGGAAAAAAATTCCATCTAGTTTGTTCCGTTTAATTTGTTTATTTTTCTACTAGTACAAAAATAAGTAAAGATATATAAGTGCAAGTTTAAAAAACTATAGGGTATTTTTTTGCTACCAAATATAAGTAAGGATATATAAGTGAAAAGTAGATGAAATAATAGGATATATAAGTACTATTTAGCCAAAATAATAATGACAACAGTGAAAGAAAATAGTTACCTTTGATCAGAGGTAAATACACCGTGGGTTCTCTATGTCCGTTAGGATTCTATAATCAACATCCCTCAGTTGCTCAGAGGGTATCCAATCCTTCTCCACCCTCTCTACGGTTTTCCCAATGAATAAATTAAATTTACTTGCAGTGCAATCGCCCACAAAGTCATCGGTGTCCATGTTATCTGTCATGTGACGTGGTGAAAATGTTCAGAGTTTTTTCCCCGCCTTTTTTATTGAGAAAATTTTGGGAGTTGGAACTAAAATTTAGAGCACACACTTGTTTCAAGCTTCCTTCTCAATTTATTCAAGAAAAATTCATGCTTGTTTTATAAGAGAAAAATAGAAGATACAACACCAACAACAGCAAAGCTTTTATCCTAAATATTTAGCGTCAGCTACATGTACCATATTTTTAATTTTATTTTGTTATAGGCAATTTTCTCCATTTAGTTAACTATTATTATATTCTTCTTAATTGCTTCCAATCAAGTTCATTATTGTTATTCTTCATTTTATTGTCAGTACTACGTGTCAAACCAATGATAAACAAAGAGGGTTGCGTTAGGTAACTGACAAAAAATCTAAAAACACAGTCGGGTCCACATGAATTAAGAAAATTGGAAAATTATAATATTTAAATCATTTGATATTATGTGATGTTTTCTGCTAATTTAAAATTTTGTGATATTGTTTCTAATTAAAATTAGTTATATGTTTTTTTTTGTAAATTCCTAATAATTCATGATAAGTATATGAGATTTGTAGTATATTTTTTTATTTATTTGTATTTACTTTGTTTAAAAATTTTAATACAGATCTTGAGCTTAGAGAGGATAAATTAAGGTTTCTTGGAGAAGGAGAAGAAACTGAGCGTATATGCATTAAGTTTCATAAGCAATATGGTTTATAAATTGATCACTACAAGCTGTTACTAGTTTCAGTGCTCAAGAGTTTGCATCATTACATAACAAATCTATAAATACATAACGCTTCTTGTACTTCAATTTGAAAATTATCAACTGCTAAATATATATAGGAACATTAATTCAAAACAAAACATAAAAGACGTAGTAATAAAAACTTATTGTCTGTGAGTTGATTGCGATTAAAATATGGAAGCTTACCAACTGTCAATCATATACAGACAAATGAATCAGATTTGGTGCAATTAATTATGTAAATACCTAAGATTGAGATCAGCTTAACCTAAAAACATCACGTGATATCTGATAGCATGAGGACCCTGCGGTTTAACCTAATTCGGTGGCCTAAAACTCAGCCTAAAAAAAATCCAAAGAGTTAATGTTTGGAATCTTGGAGGGCGGTCAAAGATGCATCACATGATCTCCTGCTTCTCTTTCAGAAAACTACATGCTAAATTCTCATCATCTCATCATCAATCTTAACACTATAAATTAATAAACACTACCCTTCCACTCTCCTCTCACACTTATCTAAACCAGCCAATTATTTCTGTGAGTTCTCTAGCTTTAATTGAAGGATGAAGCAGGGAGGAGTCATATTCTTGTTCATGGTTCTGTTTCTTCTCAGTTCCTCCTACTCCCTTAACAACAATATCAGTACTGGGAGTACTGAGTGCTTAGTTAGCGGCGGAGCAAGAAAGCTGTTAACTGTGAAAACTTCAGTTAAACAGAATCAAATGAGAGCAGCAAGCTGGAAGCAGCCAGTGATGAAGCAAGCAGAAGCGAGCATGAGAAGAATACCACCATCAAGATCCAACCCCACCCAAAACAAGCAAGTCCCCCTAACTAAAGGTTAATAATTAATGGATAATTAAGCGACTAATTATGTCATTAATTATGCAGGTACCGCGGCCGACGAACAAGGACATATTTGAAAGTATCGATCAATAGTTAGAGAGATGAAGATAGAGACAAGTAGGAAGGATTAGTGTTACAGTTGGTGCTTTTGCAATTGTGTTAGCTTTAAAGTGAGGGGTTTGTTTAATTAGTATTAGAATGAGATGCAAACATTTTTTTTTTTTTTCGTATGGGTTACTTTCAGCTAGATCGTGTCTCCACTTGTACTTTACAAATAAATAAAAGGGTTATTTGCACATATACCACTTACATCATGAGTATTTGCACGACTATCCCTCAAATCGTAGTATTTGCAAAACTACCACTCAATTATCAATCTTAAAGAAAAACACCTGAGTCAATCAACTGTCAACTTTGATAGACTAATTTGTGACTAACATGTAAGATTATGAAGAAAATAGTCAATTTTTCAATCATCAAGTTGATAATTTGTTAATTTAGGGATACTTTTTAACAAAATCGATGATTTGATGGGTACTTTCTCAAATACTAAGATTTGGAGGGATGTTTCGTGAATACACATGGTTTGAGGGGTAGATATGCAACTGAATCAAAAGTGGATTTTTTGTCATATTGAACTGTGCTAGCTGGATGAATGGGTGCAAAAACATGACAGTTCTGATAAAACGATAAAACTTATGGTATTATTTGGCTCTTAATGAAGCTCATCTGGGTTTTTTTCTTTCTTGTTTTCTTTTCTTTTTCTGGTGGTGGTTTTTTAAAAGGTTTTTTATTTTCTTTGTGGACCGGCCCGTGGGTTTTTTCAGCTTTTTCCTAATCTTTTTATTTCTAATTTCTAAACTATGTTAACTTTGTATTCATATCTATTAAATTATTTTTTCTCATTCTTATTTAAAATTATATATGTATATATATACACACACACGCACACAAAAAAATAAAGATCACATAGGAAAACATCGCAAATACAAAGATATATGTGATTCGGACTTCGAAAGGAGACCTACGTCCACGGAAAGTTAATAACTTTCCTTTAATTTAAATTTAAACTACAAATACAAGAGGAAAAAAAATAAAAAAATGTTAATCATTAATGTCGAAGAAGAGAAATTCCTCCAATTTATATGCATCAAATTCTTCAATGAAAGGTCATATTTGCCGTCCTTATGACTGTTCTTTTGCATCAAGCCGAGTCAGTGGTGAGCCGAGCTAGGCCGAGCCGAGTCATGGTGGGCCGGACATATTTCTCTAGTCTCGGGTCTGGGGCTAGACCCAGCCCCCGGGTATATCACAGCCCAGGCCGGGTCATGACCCATGGCGGGTTGGGGGCAAAAAGTACAATATAGCTAGGAAGAATAGATGAGCATATTTATATATAGTTCCAACAGCTCAATACTATAAATCATAAACTTCACGAACATAATTCAGCTTTCTGCAGATGCTGCAACCTACGACAAACCCTCAAGTACAAAAAATTGGAAGCATAAAGCATGTCATGCGGTAAAATTGCATGTCGGAAGCACTAGAAACACACTACCAAGTATCAACCAAATCTAGAAAAGTAGACGAAGCATGGCTGCTCCCATGTCAAGCCTAATGGAGATACAGACGGGTTCACCATCCTCTTGACCTCAAAACATCCCAAGTGTTATTACTAACGATCTAAACTTAGACAATCAGTATGAAAAAACACGTATTTATACATTAAGAAGTACATATTGAACTAACGAAGAAAAAGCAACTATGAAGATTTACAAAAACGCACCAGCGAGTGCCGCACGGAGTTAAGATGCAGCAACCTTCTCTTACATATACAAACAGCCGTGACTCTATACCCTGAAAGCGACAACTAAACAAAAAGACAGAAATACTGCCAACAGGAGGAAAAGGCATACATTAGTAAAGGCTATGAACATATGGGAAAGGGCTCTCCGATATTTTCCCTTATCGCCTACTCTATGAGGTCATAAAATATAGTGAATTCTACAGGGCGGTAAACAGAAGCATAGCCGTGCTGACATCAGACCTTTCATGCAAATGCTGCTCTGGTCTGAGAATGGATTTTAATGACTCCTTTGGAGAAGGCATTGCTAGGGATAGAGACAGTGATGCAGAAATATCATCATCATCTTCTACAGCCTCATTTGGTTGTTGTTCCCGTGCTTTCCACTTGCTTCCAAGAGCTAATTCAAGATTTGGGATGTTAGATGCCTTATAATCTTCATCATCTGAAGAGAGTATACGTATTAGGTTGTCTGGTTTGGTATTTTGTACAGGACTTGATTCCGCTGGGAAGAAAAACTTCTCTGCTTTTCTCAAGTTGCCAGGAGTCACTTTGCTGACGTCTTCATACGTAGATTCTGTTGGCTGATCATTCAAGCTAGGCAACAAGGGATGTACCTTAGACAACGACCTCATGCTTAAAATTTCCTCTCTAAGGCTACTGCCACCATGTCCTTTACTATAACAGATCCTTTTCTGCTCTCTCTCATCATCTAGTGGAAAATTGATTGGTAAATAGGTTACCTCATGTTTCGAAAGCGTGGTTTCATCATTGCTTGTTATATAACCAGGAGCCTGAGAGAGAGAATTTGTGGTTGATGAGTATGCACGCTTCCTATGTGGCCTCTCCCCGAAGCTGACATGGCCTATCCCTGTCAGATTCCCTTGTAGCTCATCACAAACAACAGCTACATTCTTTGTTAAGACCTCTTCTTCTCCTGATACTCTCTCACTTCCGCTGCTTGCCTTATCTGTTCCTTAAAAAAAACAGAAATTTTACACTGTTAGTATAGTCAAACAGATAGGTTGCTTAGTTTGGAGTCAACTTACTAGTAAGTCACCTTTTCTGCAATCAAAAAGAGTAAAGGACAAGGGTGACGCACTGCTAAGTCCAATCTGTTCATTAGTTGCAGGCGCATGAGTTATAGGACATTTAGCTGACAGACTTGCAACATGTTTGTCCTCAAAATCATAACCAAAGTTTCTCTGCAAGTGGGTGTATGTCAGTTAAAGAAAATATCCACGGAAACGACAACTAATGGGAATGAACACCAATCACACAAGAAATAAAATAGAAGATATCAAGCTAGTCCAACAATTTGATTTATGAAAATATTTGTACATGTAATACACGGTTTTCAATATCAACAAATGGTTTATGGTAGACAATATGGATATCGTTTGAAGGTTTAAAATGCCAACAAACCTCTTCTGCAAGCAACAAAGTGACAATATAACTTATACACAATGAAAGTTGGAGAACAGTAGCATCAAACAGACCTAGAGCTTAGAGCAGACATATGCATAGCATTGACATGATCAACGAAAAAGAGACCCTTCAAGAACGAAAGGCCAGATTATATCAGAAAAGGAACCATTCAGACTAGCACAGTAATTGGAATTCACACAATTGAGATACACTGATACGAATTTTAATGGAATCAAGTTAATGAGGCTTGGTTTAATGAGTTCTGCTCTCCCTGCCACAATTTTCAGCCGATCCTAAGAGTCAAGATATTTCCTGTAGGCTAACAAGAAGTAGCATCAAGTTCATATGGTATTGCAAAAGAATCCACAAGAGAGTATCTCACTTTGTATATCTTAAATATATGAGATATTAAACTATTTTTTTTCCCTGCTGAAAACATCTCAGTGACCAGTACATCTCTTTGACATATATGCTTCAGATAAAAAGGTCAGCTAATTCTCAATAGACAATTTTTGAGCTTGCACTGCAAAGTTAAAAGCTACAAGAATTTAAAACCTTGAGTTATTAAGCTGTTAATAATTCACCTGTTTCTAAATAATACCTGCCAGTAGATTTAAGCTTAAATTTAGGTTGTATCAAAATCGTCCTTTAAGGGTTCATTAATATATTTGCTTAATTCCCAGGACCCTCCTCGAACTGTCATATACTTACTGCAAACCGATTCTCGGTACATAGTGCAAAGCAATTCACTCTGCTACGAAAATTGGTTCACCAGAACTATCATACAGCTTACAAGTATGTGGGGAGCAAAGTCCCTTATACACACATTTGCAAGGAGGAACGTGATGTGCGTGCCCGAATGAAGTGAGGTGCACACCACACACATAATAGACAATTTGAGTACTTATTCCTATATACGTAGTGTGAAAAGAAATAGATTGAATAGTGGAAGGGCAGATAAATTAATATTCATCTATTCAAACATTCGCTTCTTGTCATGATTCTGCAAGAATTACAAAATTGGTCCCTGTAAAGAATGGACATTGATCCCAATAATGATAATTTGGATAATCCTTCAAGTAAACCGGAGAAGGTTTGGTGGAACTGATGTTTGGGTTCAGAATTTAGCTAAAGATGAACTTGACAGTGACGGGAAGAAGGTTGGAAAGGGGGAAAACTTATCAAGGAGTTCAGTCTATAATTTATATGTTTTTCTTATGTATTTAGATATCTTGAAAGTGAAGGCATAATTAGCTTTCTTGTTTCTAGTTTTCTATTATACACTTTAAAAAATGGTAAGTGCACCCCAAAAAATTGCAACGTACCATGTAAGGAACTTTCAGACCAAAAAAACCTGCCTTCGTTGAACCCAAAATAGCGTTGAATCCAAAATAGCTAAGTGGCAAATTGTGTACCCAAATTCATATTACGACCTATTACGTGCTGCATACCGCGTAATGATGATTTCAATTTACAACTAACACAAGGATTAGGAGGTAGTAGGTTACATCAAACTAAGTAAAATTTCAAAAAAAAAAAGAAAAAAAAAAGAAAAAAAAAAGAAATTCTGGCTTGAAAACTAATGGGTAGATAACTTCTGGGATGGAAACAAGGTAGCATGTACATCGATGTACCCAAATGAATGTGGTTACGAAAAATGTAAAAAAATGTGTAGCAAAAATGAGAATGTTACAAACGACGTGCAGATATACAAGATAACATAAGAAATGATTGGATTCATAGTAAGGTAGAGGTTGTTCCCACTAAGGATAAAATGAGAGAATCGATTAAGATGATCCAGTCATATACACTAATTCAGTAAATGCATCAACTATGAAAGTGATAGGATCATAACTAACAGAGGAAGGACTCAAAAAAAAAATTAAATGGAAGCATAAGTACTTGGTTTGAAGCAGTAATAAGGATAGGATAGCGGTGGGAGCATAAGAGTACTTGGTTTGAAGCAGTAATAAGGATACGATAGCGGTTTACTTAGTTGGGTAATAGCCTTGAACAAAACCGAAAGAACGAACTGGATTCACATAACCAACACCAAAATTTTATGATAAAGGCTTTGCTGTTGTTTGCACTTTGGGGAAACAATAGAAGTTAGCATTTTAGACAATTACTTCACCTTGAAAACTTCTGAGTTAATCAAATTTAGACACAGTTCCCGTTTCCAAGAAAGTCGCAAACATTAAAGATCTTATTACCAGCAGAAGTTAGCATTTTAGACAATTACTTCACCTTGAAAACTTCTGAGTTAATCAAATTTAGACACAGTTCCCGTTTCCAAGAAAGTCGCAATTATTAAAGATCTTATTACCAGCAGAAAGTAAGCTTATAGAAGACATCAATCAAACAGTAGTAAGCACATCAATCCTAAGTTGCATCGAAACGGGTACAGTACCAGTACAAGTGCGGGTACGGGACACGGCAAATTTATGAAATGTAGGGTATGGGGGGCACACAACTACATATACATCAACATAATAATTTACACGAGATCATTATTACTTTCAATTCATGTGCTATTTGAATTTCATCTTTTTAAAGTTTATTTTATTATGTTGATTATTATAAATTGGAAAATGCCCATTTTTTAGCTAGACACTCAAACCACCCTTTTAAATCATAGTTTTTAATTTTGATATGGACCGAAACAAACCCGATCCATGTCTAACAAGTTTCAAGAAATGGACATGAAGTGTAGGATATACGTCCAATAAGCGTATGATAAGTATTTTAAATTAAAACATATATCATAAAATTGAGTACACGTCAGAATAAATGTATGCATATATTGAAGGAGTGTCCATGAAGTTTGGGTACAGGTAAGTGTTGGGTACGTGCCGTTTACGTGTACAGATTCATGTAAGAAGTACCCGGGTAACATATCATCAATCAGATAAAGATTGAAAGACATACAATGGTACTCTTGGATATCAATAAAACAATTCAGAAACAATGAAGCAGCATTAACAATATACTACCACCTAAAGTAATTCAAGAAATCAAGAAATGCTTAAAATAGTAAGCCTAGTACATATAGAAAATAACATAGATTTACCTCATAGTTCTCATCATTTCCCACTTTTGAGCTGGTGTCGGTTGCTTTAAACCTTGACTTAGGATGATTACTGAGGGGATCAGCAAGCTGGTCTGTGCTAGTTAATGCGTAACTAGCGGAAGATGAGTTTAGCTTTTTCTTCGATGCTGGCCTATTATAAGCAGCACGCTGAAATGAAGAATTATGAAGATGAGGAGATTCCTGATCTCTCCACATTCTATCACGTTCGACAAATGTAGTGGACCTCAATGCCTCAGCCTTGGGTGATATCCCACAATTGGTTGATTTTTCAGGACTCTCAACTGAAACAACTTTTTCAGAATCGGAAACTAAAGAGCTAAGAGCACAGGGTAGGTATTGAGTGGCAGGATCCATATTCAAAACTGATCTTGAAGGTCTCTTCTGAGGACTCAGCTTGGATGTCAAACTAATTTTCCTCCTCCTTTTAAACATACCCCAAAGGAAAAACAACCTATTCCAACCTGCAGACAACAAACAGCCTCTTGTAAAACGATTATCCACATATTTGGTTACATCTGCAAGCAATCGTAAAAAATAAGAAAATACCAAGCACATATAATAATAAAAAATGAACTTACGTTGAGAATACAAAGGCAGCTTAGTTGATGGGAATATAAGTAGTTCCACACCATCAAGTATCCCTCTAAGGGCTAGATCATTTTTAAGCATTTTTTCCAACAGCTTGCTATAACTCCTTTCGTAACTACAACGAGATCAACACAACAAGAAAGTTAGTGCATCTGATGAAACATTTGAAAGATGGACTAGCATATACAAATACATATACATACATATATAAAATAAGTAAGTGTAAGAAACAAACCTATCCATGTCTTTAGCAAAGAAAAAGAGAGCAATATTATGCTCAGTAGGACTAACTCCTACAGACTGCAAAGGCCATGAACTAATATAAGAAACTTCCTCCAACTGGACTTTGCACGGGATCTTGGTTGCTACTTGAAGAACTTTTGCTGAAGCAGATGTTGATAGATGTGCCTGAAACCCATCAAAAGATGCAGCTTCATTTACATTTTTCAGAACCTCAAGACTCCCTCTGCAAATAAAAGAAAACCAAAATGACTTCTGAAAGTACAATAGAAATGGATTCAAGCTTGACGATGAATTTTAAAAACTGAAATGTGAAAAGAAAAAAATGGCATACTTCCATATGGATTCAAGCTCTGGAATTGCTAAAGTTCTAAAAGGGTTTGCAAGTACTGAAGCTTGATCAGGCAAATGATGCAGCAAACGCTTTATATGGAGCTCATCTGAAACAGTATCAGTAGCATTTGATACATTTCCTTCAAGAGGGCAAGAAGAATCAATTGTTTGACAAGCTCCAGAAGTGCATGATGTTTCAACTGGTGGAGACACATCAGCGATATGTGTTGTTTTCAGGGGATCAAATACTGAGCTTTTCAAGACTTCTTCCGCATCAGATGTACCTGCCAAAGGAGTGCTATTTCTTGGCTGATCTGGAGAACTAGCATGAAAATCCTTAGAAGCTACTTCACAGCTTTGATTGGCAATGGAAATAGGAGAATCCTCTAACTCAGCTCCCTTTCTATGGATTTTCTGTAACCTACTTCTGGAAATAGTTGGCAATGTGTTGTTTCCAACCTTTGAATTCTTTTCTATGGGAGGCTTAGAGGCTGATGATGGAGGCTTCTCGGTTGAGCAAAACTGTGTCGCATGACCTGTTTCATTACATTTTTGACAGTGTAAATTTTGACTCCCATCTGAAACTGAATGTCTAGAACTGCCGAAAATACTAAGATCCTTGGGTTTATCATCTTGATGAACTGAATCAGTAGTATGTAATGCACCTTGAGGTTCAACTATATCAGCGTTATCACACAATTTATCAGAACTATTGGAGCTTCCAAATGCATCTTCCTTGGGCAGTGAGCATGGCCTTTGATCCTCGTTAACTTTTGCGTTCAAACATGCAGTTCCAAGAATCGTAGATGAACATTTTGACAGCAGGTTTGCTTCATTCCCTCCTAATAGACAAAATAACCGGAAAGAGGTGATTGACAATTTTGAGTCTACAAATCATTACCAGGAAATGATTAAGATTTCAAATTTAAGCTAAGACAAACTTTGAGGCAAGACTATTTACCTAAGGCATTTGCGTCATCTGAACCTTGTTTCATTCTAAGTATATTTGATTCAGACATATCATTCACCTTTAAATCGTGACGTGGAGTGTTCATACCCATCTTTGAAAGAACGCTGGTGTGAATCCTTGGCGATAAATCAGTGGGGGAGCGGTCCAGGACAGAAGATCTCTTCTTTTTAATTATTTTTCTTTCTTTCAATTGTTTCAATGATTTTGGGTCTTCAACTCGTGTCTGATGAATGAACTGTGTTTTACATGCAGGCTCAGTATTATAATGACCAGAGCTCATGTTTTTGAATGATGCAGACTTAGTCATCGATCTGGCTAATGCCTCCTTCCTTGTGTTGTTCAAAGAAGGTCCTCTTGAGATTTTTGGCTTAACAGGGATACTATCAGTAAGCTGTTTGACTTTCGGTTTCTTCGAATTTAGGTTACCGAAAGAACTAGACCGTGATAGCACTCCTGCACAAAGACATAACTAATAAGATTGAAGAATTGAACTGCTTCTTTTACCACCAATTTGGTTTGTAAACTTACCATGATGAGGCTCACGCCGGGCTGGGACCTTTGACGAATTAGAACTCACCATAGATTGTGAACGAGAAAAATAGATGGAACCGCTTGCAGCCTGACCTCTGTTCAATGCAGGAAGGGTTGCTACCTTTTCTATTACTCCCTCCATGTTTTTGAATGAATTCTCACGCGACAAAGCAGAGTTTTTCCTAGGACTTCCCATCCCAAAGCATTCAATGGTTTTTTGAGGGCTTTTGCTATTTAAAGAGATTACTTCCTGACTCTCTGAATGTCTTTTAGCTGAGATTCTTGGACTTTGCAACCCTCTACGCAACCTCCTAATATCTCGATCAACATCTTCCATATCCAACTTAGGCTTCAAATTTGATGAATTTGCAAGCTTCTGACTGGTTTCAGTCAAACATGTCAGTTTTGATGTTCTAAATGCAACCTCAGATGTATAAACCTTTTTATTTTCACTATCCTTCTTGCATTCTTTTGTTATTCCCTGGACCACTTCAGACTTATCCCCCTTCCTAATTTCAGCATACTCCTTAAGCTTCAACTTCTTTGCTGTTGCAAATACCTTTTCATCCTCTTTCTTGACTTCACCATTCTCCTTAAGGTCAGATTCTTTAGCTGTTCCAGATACCTTGTAAGGCCTATCTACCTTCTGCTTTTCAGCATCCTCCTTCATCTGGCACTCCTCACATGACCAATTGCCTTCGGGAAGTTTACGCAACATCACTCGCATACAATAACTAGTAATTAGGAATTAGCAGTTAGAGTTTAAACATGATAATTAAATTTACTATTGGAGATAAATCTATAAAGACGACAAAGGGGCTCAACCATTGTAATGGCTTACGTGTGTTCTGCGCCATCACTGCATTTACTACAAAAAGCAAGAAGCTCCTCACGACCAGCATCCCCACAGATATCACAGACTTTTACCTGCAATCAAGTCAACAAAAATAACCACATTTATAAGTGAGATATCCCAGCAGGTATTAGATACAAAACGAACAGATATACATTGTACATCACAGAGTGTCAATAGTTTTATCTTATCAAATATATATTTTATAGGACACTGTATCTTGCTCTATTAGCCAGAACCCAAAAGCAATCACAAAATAAAGAGTGATAAGATAGCACAACAAATAGAATCTATGAAAGTGGCCACTACACAAGTGGCCAGGTGAGCATAGGTCAAAGCCAGAATGTCATAACAAAGTTAGTAAGATCTGAACAAGCTCCCATTTCTCTTGGAAGAATTAGGAGATATTTGTTCAGAATAGAGTGGTTGCTGTCTTTATCCATGGTGCACCTCCAGAAAGAACAAAAGACGTACATATAGAAGAAACTCAAGCTTATATTCCTAGTTTAAGCCTCAACAAGCACCAAATAGAACGACTTCGTGTTTCTTTCGGCCATTCCTTAACCCAACTTCATGCAAGACCAACCACAAAATTAGTGTCACATATGAGAATAATAAATCAAAAACGTCTAGTATCAGAGAGTAAAATCAGACAGAATCAAATGTATAAGGTAGATATTTCTGTTAAGAAAAGTATAGGTACTCACATCTGTCAACTCAGCTTCTGATTCTGAATCCCCGCTGCTCATGACCTGCTGGGGTTCTTGCACATTAGATACCTCCACCAAAATACTAGGCATTTCAATTTCCTCGCCTTTGCTGCTTGACTTCATAACCTCATCAGATGATATCTTAACTAAGCCATTTTCATTTTCCAAGCCAGTAATCTTCAATGTATCTGCAGAGAAGGTATTTCCAGCGTAACCTGATTTACTGTTTTCATGATTAAACGATGGGACATTGAGACTACTAGCCACCTCCACTTTTCCTAACAAAGATTTAACATCAATATGGAGTTGACCACTTGCACCGCCATCAACATCCTTATAATCAGCATTGTGGCAAGAGACATAGTCATCTTGAGAGGCGGAACATGGAGATTGGACTTTTGGAGAAGAATGTCTGGATATCTCCTCAGTGAAATTGGACTTTCTGGAGAAGGAAGCATCTGCAGAGTATGCACACTTCTGCAATGACTCTTCAGGGGACGTTATTCTCCTCCCACAGTTACTCAGGCCATCCTCATTTTCACCGCCACGCAAGTAGCCTGTGGCTTCATAATGACCGGTATCTTCAATTTCTCTTGAAAGTAAACCATGAACTGATACAGAGGGACAAGCAGCATTTTTCTGCGCCGACTCCATATTACAATAACCTGCCCCAATATTAGAATCTTTAATCCCGCTAACACTAGATATGTTGTCTCCATGGCATTCTAATCCTGATATCCTATTGCACAAATCAGATGTAATAGGCCTATTTGAGGAAAACCAAAAATCACCCTTAGATGTTAAGTTTGGTAAAGAACTAATAATACCATGAGAATGTGTATGCTACAATCCTCCTGCTACATTGATAAAGCAAAGACTAAGTTAACAGAGCAAAGAAATAATAATAATATGAGTATGTACATAAAGTGTATGCTACAATCCTCCTGTTAAATTGATAGAGAAAAGACTAATTGAAAATCTTAGGATTTGATCAATTCTAAATTGAAATATAACTCTTGTTGAGAACGCCTTCACTTGATAAATGGTAATCCCTGCTTTTCAGCTCCTTTTGAAATTAAATGGTGTGAACAGTCAGTCAAGATCTGTCCTCTAGCAGTGGTTATTTTTGCATAGACAAATATATGATCTCCATCAAATAATCACTTTCTTCTCACCCATGATCCCTATTTTTCATGATAATTTTGTACTCTTTTTAAGGATCTAGAATAATGTGCTATTAACACGCTATCTCCATAGAGCAAGCCCTCTCAGTTTCTTATCCTTCAGGGGCATGTTGTCTTTAGTTTAATCAAGGTTAATTGCAGACATCCCTCCCTGAACTATTTTATTAGCATGTACACTCCTGGATGAATTTTTTTACCCCTAGGGGGTGCCTATGTTGCACGAGTACGGGTATGGACACAGGCACAAAAAATTTGTAAAAGGTAGGGTACAGAGACATGACTACATATACACTGATACACACACACGTATTGAAATTAATAACTTACATGAGGTTGGTATTGTTTTTCCATTCACATATTATGAGTACTAAAATTCATATAGCACTTTTATGTTTCTCTTATCGAGTAGATTACAAATTGGAAAACTGCTTGTTTTTGAACTAGATACTCAAACAACATTTAGAATCATACTTCTGAACTGAGCATGTGCCAAAACAAGCCTGATCCCTGTCCAGAGAGTTGCAAGAAGCGGCTACGAAGGGTAAGATATACGTCCAAGAAGTGTATAAATGTTTTAAACCAAAATATCAATTATATACCCAAGGAGAGTTGGAGTCGAGTACAACTGTACAAGTAAAGGAAGCATCTGATACGGGTAGAGGAGCCCATATAAGACGTCAGGTAACTTAGCAAGTGTACATGCAAATAATACAAATTTCCCTCTCCCTCCCCCCCCCCCCCCCCC